AACTTCACTGTAGAGACAAAGCGTAGATTACCCCTGAAATCAAACTCCTCATCTCCCAACGACAAAAGGCCTTTGCCTTGGGAAATACAATTGAATACAACAAATTGCGAAATAAAGTAATTCACGTCGTGAAACAGGCAAAGTCTAAATACTTCGAGTCTCAAGTGAATCATCTAAAAAATTCAAAGCCAAGGAAATGGTGGAGTGCTATTAAAAACCTAGCTGGCTTTTCTTTAAAGCCTGCCTTTCATTCTGCAGAGGTGAATGGAACTATCCTGCAGGGACGAGACTTAGCACTCACTGTTAATAACGGGTGTTTAGCCGCCACTAAATCGTTACCGCCGCTTTCAATTACTGATAAATTATCTGTGGAAGAACCTACTGTTTTGTACCCTATCTCCGTTGTTGATGTCGAATCGCGTTTAAAAGCAGTTAAATCGAATAAAGCTCCGGGTCCAGACTCTCTGCCAAATTGGATTCTCAAATGGAGATTTTAGAACCTGTGACAATGATTTTTAATGCCTCCATTAAACAAGCACAAGTTCCAATGCAGTGGAAAGAAGCAAATGTCGTTCCCGTCCCTAAGACATCCTCGGTCACGGATATATCTTCAGACCTGCGACCTATATCTCTGATCGCCACGCTCTCAAAGGTTCTTAAATCATTTCCATTTCAGTGGATTATGGATACCATTAAGTCTCAGTTGGACCCAAAGCAATTCGGATCGTTAAAAGGCTCTTCTACGATAGACGCATTAATTAGCATGTTCCACTGTTGGTATTCTTACACAGACGGCAATGGCGAGACTGTTCGTGTTTTTCTGCTTGACTTTAGTAAAGCATTCGACAGAATCAACCACAAAATCCTGATAAAAAAGATGCAATTACTAAATATTGATAAATCCTTAATAAACTGGATTATTGATTTCCTGATGCAAAGAAGACAGAGGGTGAAATTGGGTTCTTCGTTCTCTGATTGGTCCTTGGTAAATGGAGGCGTCCGGCAAGGTACAATCCTTGGCCCATTACTCTTCCTCATCATGGTCAACGATTTGGCTATTAACCACCAAGGTAGATGGAAATATGTTGACGACACCAAAACAATCGGTAAAGGTTGTCAAATTAAGTAACCTGCAATCCGTTATTAATAATATCGATCAATGGTGCACGGAAAATGATATGATGCTTAATCGTTCTAAATGCAAAGAGCTAATTATCTCGTTCGCTAAGGACGTCCCTAATCTTCGACCATTGTTTATTAAAGATCACTGTATGTCCCCAGTTTTATCAGCAAAGGTTCTTGGTCTGTACTTTTCTTCTGATCTTAGTTGGAACTTACATGTTGAACACATAGTATACAAGGCATCAAAGAGACTTTTTTTTCTCCTAGTGCTTAAACGCAGCGGGCTTGGAGGGAGTTCTCTAATTCAAGTCTATACCACATGTATACGACCTGTGCTTGAATATGCATGCCAGGTTTGGAACTTAAACTCCCCTGACTATTTAAAGGAAGAAATCGAAAGAATTCAGAAGCGAGCCCTACGAATAATATGTCCTGACCTGTCATACCGCAAAGCCTTGGAAGTTCATGAAATATCGTTGCTCTCTCAAAGACGAAATAATTTATGTAAATTCTATTTTAAGAAACTTTTCAACCCGGAAAATAAATTGAATGAACTTATCCCTAATAAACGCAAAGACTTACGTACTTACAATCTACTTAATGATCAGCATTAACTTAATTAATTGTAAGACTAAAAGATTTAGTAAAAGTTTTATTCCTTCTAGTATCGTATCATATAATGATTAATTTTAATTGTAATATAAATTTTAGTTTTAATATACCGTATATTACTATATGTATTAGTTTTACCATGTATTTTAAATGTCAACTCTGTACAATTCAGCTCTCAGCTGCCATTCAGATTTTGTAATAAATTCAATTCAATTCAATTCAATAATGCTATTAGACACGTGCACCCATTATAACAACTCCTCAAAGCGCTCGACAACACCGAAGTGAAGGGTCGTAATACTACAATCTGCAAACATGCATGTTTCGGCGTTCTACGCTTTGTTAGTGCAGTTTGGTACACGTCTAGATACGCAATGCCTTCGTATTAAGATCCCATTACCTTGCTCTCACCAACGCATGCGGTATGCAACACCACGACATAAACGTATCTAGGGACGCCGAAAAGGGTGGCGCAGGGGGGCATCGCCCCCCCCCCCTTGCCCTATAGTAAGGGGGCAGGGGGGAGAAAGTGCCCTTATAGATAAAAATGCTAACCCAAAAAATATGAGGTACAACGATTAAAAAGTATGAATTACGGTGAAATATACGTAATATTGAAATATAAGTGAAATTTTCTGGAATATTGTGTGAAAAATTATGTTTTCAAAATGTTTCGCCCTTGTTTTGGGGAATTAAGGTCCAGGAAAAAAATTTTCGGTAATGAAATATCAATTAGTAATTACCCGTACGTCAACATCCCCCCCCCCCTGTGCCCTACCCTTGCTCCGGTGTCCCTGAACGTGTCCAGACAAGCGCATAGTGTACAGGGGCCGGAGTGTTCAAACGATCACAAGGGAAGTGAGCTTTGCATTATTAATATTAGACATGCCATTAACAACTCCGCAGAGTGCTCGACAACACCGAAGTAAAGGAGCGTAATAGTACAACCTGCAGGCATGTATGTTTCGGCGTTCTGTGCCTTGTCATTGCAGCTTGGTACATATCTACATAGGCGTTGCCTTCGTATTAATATCCCATGACCTTGCTCTCACCAAGGCATGCGGTACAACACGACGATATAGACGCATTCATACATGCGCAGTGTGTAATGGGGCCAGAGTGCTCAAACAACCACAAGCGAATGAACATTCCATGTCGTATATGACATAAAGAACGGCTACGTCTGAAGAAGTTTTATTAAAAAATATATATTAGATGCAAAAACTAAATTTTCGGCTGCACTACAGAACATACTTATATATAATAAATTATGAATAAATTACTATTGTTGGGCGAAATCATGACTACCATCAAGACTTTTCCGGTTGGTCAACAACATTCCTATTGAAAAGTTTTCACTATGGTGTTGATCAATAAGTATAAATTTTAAGGTTGAATGATCCGCCTCATGCACATCAATAAAATGATTAGTTATACTGCATGTCCAGCGCTTATGCTTAATTTGTGATTTGTAGTTAACTTATAGTCTGGACTTAAAATTGTCAATTCATGGAACTACAAATCACACATTAAGCATAAGCACTGGACATGCAGTACAACTAATCATTTTATTGATGTGCATGAGGCGGATATATATATATATATATATATATATATATATATATATATATATATATATATATATATATATATATATATATATATATATATAAACTGATTTCATGATTGTTATTCAAGTCATACTCACATTTTGCATATGGCAAGCCAGGAGCGGGATTAGATGTAGAAGGAACAAGACGGATACAACAGGATGTTTTACTGGGCTGTATGTTATAACATATTAAGTTCCCAGTTGCAATGTTATAACTTCTCTGAGACCATGCGTAAATATAAATAGGGTTCGCGTCCGTTTCTTTAAAACCCAAATGCTGGCACAGCATTTTCTGACGAATTTTATCCCAATGTTTTTCATTAACGTATTTCCAAGTTGAACCATCGTTGACTTGGATGTAACCTTGGTATGGCAAACCCGTTAATCTGATGTTAGGTACTGAAACATAAATTTTGAATGAAAGACTAGTCAATTTACTCTTGGAAAACAACGTACTTTTAAATGATCTTATCTCACACCATGCGACTATGTCGCCCATTTATCGTTGGAAAACCGCGCAGCAATAGATAGTAACAAGAAGCGAAGAGAAAAAGCTAAGCAAAGACGCCCTGCACACTGTATTCCATTATATTACCCATGCATGCAGTAAAGAATTACATCCTGGCTCCTGTTAAATACTTATATATTTAAAAGTATCCATTTTACCTGCAGTTATGATGGTTGACCTATCGCTATCCACACAATTGTACTCGGTGTAAATTTCTTTTGAAGTATTAGAACAGTATGGTGATGGTAGTAAGTTATTGTCCAAGAACAGTTCGCAGGATCTCTTTCCACCACAACGAGATTTCACCTGACAATTGGTTAGTGCGCTGCATGACATATCAATATTTTTATTGTCATTAAAGGCACCATTTTTACTAAAGTCTCCATAATCAGCCCTCTTAATTGCCATGTGTTGTCTTGGAGAACAATGAACATTTTCCATTTTGGTGCCGTAGTTGGTTACCGAACCTAAAGCAGAGTTAACAGTAAAGTGTGAGTCATCTGTTTCCTGTCCATCTGGATAAACTGTAGATATATAATTTCCTGATGTACCGTCATAGCGAGATATGAAGGTGTTTTGCAACCCACATATTGCACAAATATAAAACGGGACTTTTTCCAATCAACATGGTATAATCCAAATATGCTTTGCTTGCTTCACCAGGTTTGATAAAACCACTTTAGCTATTTTGTAGTTAAATAGTTGTTAACTTTAAAATAGTCGATTTTGATTGGTGAACTATAATTATAGGCCTACGATCGTACTAACTATAGCTAACATTAAAAGTAGCACAACCATGTTCCCTGGTGTTTACAGCTAGCTCCCATCAAGCAAAAGCACAATTACGAGCCAACATTTTTGCGGTGTTATTCTGCGGTCAAAAAGATGTAGTGCATGTTATGAATTTCTATGCGTCCAATATGATGTATATTCATATCAAATCAAAATAGTTTAGTTTTAAGACAATATAATGGTACTTTTCTCGCTTTCTCGTGTAGTTTTCTCACTCATTTTATTTACAAAACGATCTCTTCCGATCGATTTATAACTTCCGCTATATATACCCAGTCCACGATATTAGGAAATCGTATTTCCGAGCAATTTTTCACATGGTTCATGAGTGCATGAGTGCATAAAAAAATTCACAGACCCTAATAGACCTTTCCCCTTATAACCAAAATTTTGATCTAGGCAAGTCTAGACAAATATTTCATCACAGCTTGAAAGAGCATCATAAAATTAGTAATATTCCAAAGTTTCGTTGCGAAATGTTGTAAAATGAGGAAAATAGAGCCTTGCGAAGTTTGCAATTTTCAGTCATTTTGCATTACAAACGAGAAATTGCAGCCCCAACACCCGAATCGGATGTCAATTTCCCGTTTGTGATACAAAATGACTGAAAAACGGCAAACTTCGCAAGGCTATATTATCCGCATTTTACAAGATTTTGCAACAAAACTTTGGAATATTACTAATTTTGTGATGCTCTTTCAAGCTGTGATAAAATTTTTGTCTAGATCGAAATTTTAGTTATGAGGGGAAAGGTCCATTCCAACAGAGACTTCTCCGCTAAATTTTACAGTGTTACCTCACGTATTTCACTAACCGAAAGTAAACTTCTGCTCTGTTGTGTCACAATAGGGCTTCATCGCTACATATTTTGTTGAAGGCTCAGCACATACGCCCATGTTGTAAAGAAATAAACTTCCAGCATTTGTTTGTTTTAAACGATAGTCTGGATTGTTGGCAGCAGATGACACGCCTTTACAGACGGCCCAACGCCTGCTATATTCGCTGTTTCGGGAATACACCAGCGTCCCATTCGTTTCAATATTGTTTAGCAGTTCGCTATCGAGATAACGGAATTGTGCTTTATCATTTAAGCAGTTGTTAGTCATTACAACGAAGTAACGTAATGTCAAAGTTGGAGCATCGCGCACAAGCTCTTCAGATCTTGCAATACACTTTCCTGACTGAGCATGCCTGAGAAAAAGACTTTGGCTATCTGAAAATAAATAATAACATTTATGTCATAAAAACAGCGACCGCATCGTTACTGAATTATATTTTTTAATTAGTAGAGAAGAAGCATCGAACATTGACGGCGATCTTGCCTGGAGAACGTGCATGGTTGGGTTTACCTTTATCTAGAAATTGAAGAGTATACGTGGTAAGAACAAAAAAGGCACTGATCAGGGGAAGGTTGTACGTATAAAAGGGTACTAGTTAAAGTCAGCGCGAAAGTCAACAAATTGTAATCTAGAATCTCAGAGTTAACTACATTTGATTTTATGAACATTCTTAAAATGTTTTACAAAACGGTTAGATTTTGAATTTTACATGAAATTTAATTAAATTTGAACTAGGTAGAAATGAATGCATCTATATTTTCCCAGGGGCGGACTGGCCCGCAGGGATACCGGGAAATTTCCCGGTGCGCCCCTGATTAAAATGTTCTTTGGCGCCCCTATTTTGGAATTTTGTAGATCATTTATATGTTATTTTGAAGGAAATGATAAAACGAAGTAAAAATAATGAAAAGATAACTTTGGGCAAAACTAGTTGAGGGCAACAATCGCGATCGTTACATGCAATTCTATAATTATATGAATAATATAATCATTTTTACGTTATATACTTCATAATCCGAGGGGAAATTTTTATTGACAAAGTGGAAGCAATATTTTTTTAAAACAAGAAAAACAATATTTTAAATTTACATTGGTTTATATGTTCGGAATTCGGATGGAAGTTATGTACTACCCAGACTCAGTTTGCAATCATGATTTAAATGGATAAACAAACGTGAAAGGGCACTCAAGAAAAGCGGTGCGCAGAGAAGGAAGGAAAAGCGAAAACAGGCGTTGCTTGATGAGGTTCTGATCGAAAGCAGCAAAAATTATGTTTTTCACCTTCAACATCTTGTGAAAGTTGTAATAACAATGATCTACTTCATGAACCCTGAATCAACTGTGTTTTTAAATTTTTTTTTAAAAATAATTTTTATATAACGGCGATAATGTCCACATAGCAATATTTGTTTTTGTGTTGTTTTTGGTTGGTTTGGAAATAGAAAGTCTAGAAGTTAACTGCTTATATTTATCTTATACTTATTTTTCAATTTCAATGCCTCAGTAGAGGTGAAGGGAAACCAAACTTTATTTATTTATTGATCAATTCTATTGCATTAATGCGTTTGATTACTTCCGGTCTATATTCAATTACCTATACCTCTACTTCATGTAATATGCCTCATGCACTTTACCATAATTACTTACTTCTGGTTTACTGCTTATGAAATATTCTTGCGTTATACAGTATGTAGGTCAGTAAGTTAATTACGGCCTGCCATGTCCGTAAAGGGAAATATTTCCCAAGGTCTCAAAAATAAGTTGGAACGTATTTTGATATAGGGTGATTACTTTTCCCTCACAGGTTTTAATTTTGGAAATCGGAATTCATTGTTGGCCTTAGATTGTGGCGTTTTACAGATTATTTGTCTAAAAAATCTAATGATCATTGACGTTTCACACAGAACTCGTCAGAACGAGAAAAAACCTTAGATGATTTTACGCCAGAAATACGTGATAAAACCAATGATAACTCACGTGCAAAGATAGATGACAGTAAAGATCACTTTACATGACAGTAAAGATCGGCAGTACGCCGATTCATCAGAAAGTAGCATTTGTTCAAAGTAATTGTCATCAACCAGGTATTGCAGCCGTCCACAAGTTACTTTTGATCCTAAGCGAGTGTACCAACGGAAAGTGCTGGAAAAGAAGTACGTTGATTGTAAACGGATCACCGTACAAGTTATAGATCTCGAGGTAAATGGTGTTTATTGCAATATTTGTCTGGCTTTTGCTGAATCTTCTTCTGCTTTTACCAATTGTTTTACTCAGTATTCACATATATATGAAAGAATCTCTGACCATGAGTCATCCAAGACACATAATTCTTCAGTAATGGCATTTGTTCACGCCCAGTCTAACAAAGATATAAGTTCTCTCACTAATTAGGAAATGGGTAATGCTCGACGGCGCAATGTTCAAGAAAATATTCGTGTCTTAGAAAGAATATAGTATCTGTAATCAAATACCTTGCTAAACGATTCTTGTCATTCAGAGGAAACCGAAACGAGTCTTCATACACTTTAGATGATAGATCAGTTGATCATGGTAATTTTTTGGAAACAATCCTTTTGATTTCGGAATTTGATGTACTTTTAAACAGCCATGTACAGAAAGTAATTGATAAAAGTAAGAAAAAAACGACAAAATTTGAAACGAAAAGCAAGCAGAATAATCATGGACGTGGAAATTTAGTAACAATGTAATTCACTAGAGGGCCTACCGTTGTAAAATAAGATTAAATAATAAAGTAATAATAAAAATAATAATAAAATCCACAATTAACAAGATTTTGCTAACAATTTTAAACATTATGAAATCAAAAATTATTCAAGAGATTGGAGAAAAGAAGTTTTCAGCACAGATGGAGAGTACACAATACACCGCAACGGTGGAACAGGAAACAATAATTTTGCGTTAAGTTCTTGGCCTGGAAGTCAAGGAGCGTTTGTTTTCCGTACAAAAAGTTTATAATGCATCAGCAGCTGGCATTTTTCAACTTTTGAAGACAAATGTTGAGCAACAAGGTCTAAAGATGGAAAACATTATTGGTGAATCATTTGACGGAGCATCAAATATGCGTGGGGAGGTCGGAGGTGTACAGAAGCTGATCAGAGACGTTTCGTCAAATTCGGTGCATGTACATATGGTGCTACGCTCATGTGCTAAACCTTGCCGCTACAGATCAGTATGGTAGAAAACATAACCGAAGTGAAAAATTTGATTGGCTTGCTTCAAAGCACTGCAACGTTTTTTTCAGATTCGTGCAAACGAATGGATGTTTGGAGCAGGGTAATGATTGACGAAGCAGTTGGTTCGGCAAAGCTAAAGAAATTACAGAAGGTTGGTGACACTTGATGGTGGTCTAAGCAGGCAGCATTAGAAACAATTATTGGTCCGTACTAAAGTACCATGCTAAAGCCTAAAGGTACTGAATGATATTGTGAATCTGCCCAAATTCAACGCAAAGGTTCAGCAAGAATCCAATACTAAGAAATCGAAATGCAGCTTGCAAAGGAAACTGTAAAAAGTGTCTTGCATGCTGTCGTAAAATCCTCTTCAAGTACTCACTCAACACTTCAGCCCTAACAAATTTGTTTGTCGTGTACGAACATTTGTTGACATTGTCATTTACGCAAGTTAACTGTGAAAGGGCATTTAGCAAGTTGAAACAAATAAAAACTAGATTAAAATCAAACTTAGCGAATGATAAGTTGGAAGCTGTAATGCTAATGACAAGCGAGAAGGACTTGCTTGATAACATTACTGTACATGACATTGTTGCTATTTTAGCTAAAGGGTCTTCAGTGTTACGTCAAATGCTTGTTATGAAATAAAATAAAGTCGTTTTACTGTTTGTTAACCATTTTTATTTATTTGTAAAGCAGCGGTTTCGACAATAGGCGAAATTCCAAAAGTTGTTTTTGTGTATATGTTTCACGCCGAAATATGGATCCGAAATATAAATGCACAGTTTGCACACAATTTCTATATAGTTGTTGCTCACGTTATGGCTACAAGCGGGGCTCCCTTTCTGAGATTTCCCGGTGAACTACGTATAGGCCAGTCCGCCCCTGTATTTTCCTAATATGCCAACAAAACTTCTGTATTTTGCTCTTTATTTAAAGATTTTTAATAATCCAAAATAACAAAAAGGGTATCTTATACTCTTTTTAGAAGCAAACAATACATCAATATTTAAAACAAACTCGCCTTGCCCAACTTTCTGCAATCTAACTTCCTTGAATTATCTTTGGTTATTCTGGGGGTTTCAATAACACTCATGACATGCATGCACTATGAAACGAAGCTACGCGCCTGCGAGAATTCACTAATGCTTTCTTTTTTATGGAATTGAATAGCCGAGCGGAATTCGTAGGCCCTGGCTCGGGGATTACGCATGATAACATTACCTAAAATGTGTATTTGGGAAATTTATCATTTCGTAATTAAAATGATAATACGTGTAACCATGACAACCACTTCAAATACTTTTGAGATTTCCCGGTGAACTACGTATAGGCCAGTCCGCCCCTGTATTTTCCTAATATGCCAACAAAACTTCTGTATTTTGCTCTTTATTTAAAGATTTTTAATAATCCAAAATAACAAAAAGGGTATCTTATACTCTTTTTAGAAGCAAACAATACATCAATATTTAAAACAAACTCGCCTTGCCCAACTTTCTGCAATCTAACTTCCTTGAATTATCTTTGGTTATTCTGGGGGTTTCAATAACACTCATGACATGCATGCACTATGAAACGAAGCTACGCGCCTGCGAGAATTCACTAATGCTTTCTTTTTTATGGAATTGAATAGCCGAGCGGAATTCGTAGGCCCTGGCTCGGGGATTACGCATGATAACATTACCTAAAATGTGTATTTGGGAAATTTATCATTTCGTAATTAAAATGATAATACGTGTAACCATGACAACCACTTCAAATACTTTTGAGATTTCCCGGTGAACTACGTATAGGCCAGTCCGCCCCTGTATTTTCCTAATATGCCAACAAAACTTCTGTATTTTGCTCTTTATTTAAAGATTTTTAATAATCCAAAATAACAAAAAGGGTATCTTATACTCTTTTTAGAAGCAAACAATACATCAATATTTAAAACAAACTCGCCTTGCCCAACTTTCTGCAATCTAACTTCCTTGAATTATCTTTGGTTATTCTGGGGGTTTCAATAACACTCATGACATGCATGCACTATGAAACGAAGCTACGCGCCTGCGAGAATTCACTAATGCTTTCTTT